TGCCTGCCATCCGTCTGTGGCTGTGGGTGGCACCCCACAATGGCTGCTCCACCCGTACAGCAGCCAAGAGTCTACTCCTTCCTATGCGAGCCCAAGACCTGCTCTGCAAAGCAAGCATTTTGGTGGTGGTGCCTTAAAAATCCCCATGTTTCTAAGAGCGTGGAAATCTGGCTTTATGAAAAAGCCTCACTGTTGCTGCGTCAAAAACCTGAGTGCTAGCTTGCAACAACTTTTAGTTAATGCAAGGAAATCAAACATTGAGAATTTGCTTTCGGAAACATCACTCCTGAGCCTTGCTGCTCTGACGTTTTTGCCAGTCTGGGGCCAGTAGAGCCCATGGAGGGGGCCAGGGAGAAGGTTCCTGAGGAGCTGGAGTCTGGGCTGAGCTCAAGTGTCCATCTCATCACAGGGCTGGAACGGATGGGGCGGTGCAGGAGGATAACCTGTCCGCCCTTGCTAGACGCTGAGTCACCCATCCTTGCCTTTTAAATAGGTGTCTCGGAACAGGAACAGTGGGACGTAGGATGGCACCATCCCTTGCACCCATCATCCTGCTTTCAGGACTGATCCAAAGTCACTTCCTACCGAGGCTGATGAGTTTGCCACTTGCTCTTTGCTTATGGCTGGGGCTTTGCACTGAAGCAAAGACAGCGGAAATTATTTCATTCTTTTCCCTTTGATATTTTTTTCCTCTCTCCTCATCTTCAAAGGCAGGAAGGGAAAATTCTGCCCCACATGCACGTGCTCTTCAGCTGGGCGTGCGAGCTGGTGGGAGGACAGCCCCGAGCCCAGGGAGACTCGCATCCGCACAAGCACTCCTTGTGAGCCCTGGTCCCTCCCCGAGAATGGAGGTCTTGTGTCTCCACAGAACCCCCTGCCCCTGGGGGAGGGAGGGAGGAAAGCCAGCAGAGCTTTCCTGCGTAACGGGCCCACATTTTGTGATTTATTTGCACGTCAGAACAAAACCTCAGGAGAAAAGCCTGCAGCCAGGCAGGGCTCGGCGCGTTGAACCCCCCAGCTTTGCTCAGGCTTCGCTGGTTGGAAGGCAGCCGCTGGCAGCGGTGACCTAATCGTTAAATCAGGCCCCACAATTGCCCCACGGGCGTGTGGCTGATCTGGGCCAGCACCATCATCTGAGTGCGGCAACAGGATGTGAGCTGGAAAGGAGGGTGAGCCGGGGCGCCCAGCACAGCGGAGGCTGGGAGGAGGGACGGAGCCGCCCAGCTTGGGGAGCTGCCAGTACCCAACCCTGAAACCTGCGGGGGAGAGGACGGATGGGGCAGGAGGGGAGGATGGGCTCCCAGCCAGGACAGGTGATGCCAGGTATGGAAAAAGGGGGGAAAAAAGCTGGGGAGGGAGAAAGCATGTCAGGGAAGGTGCAGAATGTGGGATATCCATGATGAAGAAGGTGAGCCTGAGCGTTGGCAGAGCTGCACAAAGTGACGCAGGAATTTTTCTGCTGACATGGTGACTTGTCCTAGTTAAAGGTCTTGCCTTAAATGAGTTCCATCACATGCACAGCTTTGCAACAGAGCTAGGGCCATGCTGCAGAGCTGAGATTTACAAAGTCCCAAAGCTCGAGGGCATCTGACACGAGGGATCTAATTTAAGCCCATTAAACAGAAATTATCTTTCTCAGCAACATGTTGGAGAAGTGCAGAGGGAGAGCCCAGCCTTTTAAGAGGATGGATTTCTGCTCCAGAAAAAAAAAAAAAAAAGAAAAGGAAAAAAAATGCCTCCTCAGTCATCCTAAGAGCCAGTTTGGCAATTGCATGTAGTAATTAGTTTAATTCAAATACCTAGAGGGTAAAAATTAATTGCAAAACCTGCCCAGAAAGTTTGGTGGTTGTGGGATGGTTCCCATTGGCAAAGGGTCAAGGCGAGGTCCCACCCATTGCCTTTGTGTTCCCATGCGCGGGAGGAGTGCTCGGTAGCGCTTCCCGGGAGATTTCCCTCTCCGCACGGCTACGCCCTTGGCTCGGGCTCATTGCACAAGTATTTTAAGCATGCTGATGAAAGCCCGGCAGTCGCTGGCTGGCATCACGTGAACACCTGGCTGCCTCTTCTCTCTCGGAGCCGAGGATCAGTTCCCCATGGCTACCCACGTCAAATATCGCACTCGGCTCCACGTCTTCTTACGTACGGGACAGCATACTCCTCATCCTTCCCAGACACTGCTGGCCTTGTGCGGCGACAACGCCTCAGTGCATGTCTTGGTGGGAAATTGGTGCCAACAGCCCAAATAATAATTGCAAACATCATTTCGGAGCAGGGCCCAAATTTCTTGCATACGCTGCCAGCTTGCCCTTCTTCCCAGTGTTGGGGGCTAATGATTTTTCTGGCTGGCTGGATGTTTTCTGCTCCCTTGAGCTTGGTAGCCATCCTGCACAAAGACTGCAGGGCAAAGACTGTGCGGGGTGCACGGGGACCAGCTTTGCGTCCCGTGGGATGTCCTGGCCATCCACCTGCGCGTGGAAAAAAAACAAAAAACCCAAAAAAAAACCCAAAACCCTGCCTTTGCCAAACTGGAGGTGCTTCCCCATCCACTGGGTTCCTGTTAACAATGCAAATGGAAGAGCTGCTGGAAGGGGAACCGGCCCAGCCAGGTGAAGGGCTCACATTTCCATCCAAATTGAAATATCCGTTCTTTTTCCAAAAGGGGGGGCTTTTTAGTATCTCAAGGGGGGGTGTCAGGCTTTATCTCTGGTTTTATTTATTTAGTCTTAAAGACCTGGTTAGACCTAAGCCTCTCACTCCTGCTAAGCCCTTGAGAGCTGTTCCTCTGTCTCACACTAGAGACTAAATGGGAATAACAGCTTGGATGGAACAGGGTGCAGGGACCTCTTGGGTAATTATGCTGTTGGAAGAATCTGTGTGATTTGCTTCTAAGTCTCAAACACAACCCTAGAAATTACCTCTCCAACCCTAATCCTATGCAGTAGTTACCAGTCCTGCATGTGTGCGATGGTCAGAAGCATCTTCTGCGGCCAAAGGCATCCCTGGACCCTGGTAAAGGCAGCAGTGAGCACCAGCTTGCCTTTCGGGCAGTGTTACTGTCGTCTGGACTGCTCAGTAAAGAGCTGAGCTGGCTTGTGGTGGAAACTAGTCCCCATGCCTCCAGGAGCCCTTCGCCTTAGCAAACCCTAATTGGACCTCTATAAATTAATGCAAGAGATTATTTGAAGTGATTTGCCGCTACTATGGGAGAACGCCATCAGGGACAAAGGGAATCCCACAAGTGCTTCCCCGTTTTTCCATCCCAGGACTTGCTCTCACCCTGACGTCTGTGTGTCTCTGCCATCTCTCCTAGGTACCATGCTTGGAATTTGTGCCTCAGTGCAGCCCTTGACCCGGACGGTGGGCCCAACCATCGGTGGAGTTTTATACAAAAAATTTGGAGTCTCCTCCTTCGGCTATTTACAGCTAATTGTCAATATAGGTTTGTTTGTTTACCTCTTAAAGACTAAAATCCCACTGAGAGAGATGAAAGGCCAGTAACTCAGTTGCAAGAAACAAACTCCCTTACTTTTTCCATAGAACTACAGCTGTTCTTGAGTTTTATTTTGATTCCATAAACCTGGAATAAAACCATTTGAACAATACCTTGCATTTCATCAACATTTGCCTCTAGAGTAAGGGATGGCTTTGTTTGCAAAGGCCTTGGAGCCATGCTCGAGCAACTGGTGGCCATGGGACCCCGGGAGCTATCGAGTTCCCCCCCCCAGTGGTGTATTCCTGCTTGGATCCACCAAAACTAAGGGGACTATGAGCCAGTGCCTCTGCTCTGGTCTGGCCTTTTATTTCACACAAACACACACCCCCAACGATGCCAAGGAAAAGCAAGGCAAAACACATCTGCTTTTGAGTGTCATTGTGCTGCATTAAATGCACCTCTGGCATTCTTGTGCTAGAGGGGAATCAAGGCCAAATGTTTTCAACTTGGATCCACCAAAACTAAGGGGACTATGAGCCAGTGCCTCTGCTCTGGTCTGGCCTTTTATTTCACACAAACACACACCCCCAACGATGCCAAGGAAAAGCAAGGCAAAACACATCTGCTTTTGAGTGTCATTGTGCTGCATTAAATGCACCTCTGGCATTCTTGTGCTAGAGGGGAATCAAGGCCAAATGTTTTCAAATGCTGTGGCCAAAAGTTTGCTACATCCACAGCTCAATCATGTGCAATCCTGCTTCTGCACGAGCCCAGCAGGCAGCAGCGTAGCTGCCAGCAGCATGCAAGGAGCACGCAGAGCCCCGATGTAGCACGCTGCAGTGCCAGTCTCCCTGCTGCTTCCAGAAACGGTGGCCAACCTTCCTTCCAGGTTTGCTTTTTTCTTTTTTCTCCTCCTCTCCTCAGTCTCTCTTGCTCTTACTACAGGCTGCTTGTAATTACATACTTTGCAACTTCCTCCTGAACAAAGTCTCCTGCAAGAATTGCACTGACATTGGGAAGGGGAAATTACCAAGTTTGGAGCTTAGCAGGGAGTACTTTGCCTGCTAATCTCATAGTCCTGACTGCCGAGCCAAGTCGTGTGCTGCAGCATTGCTCTCGAGGAAGCTCAGGTTAGTTAGTGATAATTGAGCCTCACAAGATAAAACTTCAGTACTTTTATCCAAAAAAATAGCTGCTTTTTTCTCTCCAAGCTTCTTGGTCCAGGTGCTAAAGGAAAAAAAGACCATCTCCGTTCTTCCCAGTTATCCTGGAGAAATTTAACTTGATCTAGAGACTGCAGAGGTGGAGGCAGAGCGAGGCGTTCAGTTTGCTGCAAAGCTGAGGAATCCCATGGAGCGTCGGCGCTGTGTTATTCTGAAATCAAGAATCCAGTTTTCTGCCTCAGTACAGAACTAAGCTATGGGGGCCGGGGGGAGGATGCAGGGCGTTAGCAAACAGCAGCACTTTATTGTTGCAAGGAGCTCTTGTGCCTTCCGCAGCCGCCATTACTCGATTATATGGGAAAGCGCTTCAAAAGGAGCACTTATCCAAACTGTGGTAGGCTTTTCTGTTTCCACCACTGACCAGAATTGGACCGTAACACACTTTCCCTCCCTGGTCAGGAGACGAGGTCAAATGCAAATGCATTATCTGGGCTTTCTCCACCTCTCACTGCCCAGTCCAGGGCACCAAAGAGCTGAGCTTACCCACTCTTTTTAAGCTACTACACCACTGCCCACTCCACAAACATGCATCAACAAAAATTACTACAGCCCAGAGTACAGTAATAAAAAGTGAACATTTCAAGTAATTTATTTGGAATGGACATATTAATGCAAAAGCAATATTAAGACCAGTAACTGCTGAAAGACATTCATCAAAATAAATACAAATATAGATACTACAAATAATTTAAATTGTGTTTAACACCACCAGTCAGTGTTGAATCTTCTTTGCGTCTCATAAATAGAAGATAATCGTTCGCAAAGCTGTACCACTCAAAACACGTGGACGCTTTGCTAGAAGTCCTTTACGAAAGTCTTTGGTTTTTCTTTAAATGCATCTCAGGCAAAGCTCAGGGCTCTTTGCTCAGCAGCCTCAACGGGCTTGGAGAAAACCAAGCTGCTTCCAGCTCTCTTCTTCGCTTTCCTTCATTGGTACCCTGTCCCATTTCAGTCCAAGACACTCGATCTGGTTTATCATCCAGTGGTATGCTCTGAAAGCAGCGAGAGACAGCAGGTTAGTTAAACGAACAGCGGGGCACGAAAGAAAGAGGGGCTTGAAGGGGAGAGTAAGGGGTCAGTTGCACATTTTCAGTAAAACCTGTCCGGACCGCGCTGCCAAGCGCCATTCCTCGCACCCCCCACCCCCCC